AAACAACATTAAAATCTAAAAATTGTTTATGTTTTTTTCAATCCAGTATATTCCATTCCTACAAGAGGATTTGTTTTTTTTGCATGATATTTCTTGTACCCAACTTGTTTTTTCTTATAATACGCTTTATCTTTCTTTTTAATCCCTTTATCTTCTTCTTCTTGGTTTTTTATATATTCTTTTAATGAAGTAGGCACCATGTAATCGGGAACGTCTGACATATGATCTTGTAATTTCACCGTGTGTAAAGCTTTGTCATGCCTCAAAGACAATAAATCACGAGGGTTTTCTTGAAAATATCTCTATACAAACAATGTACAATTATAAATTAAATAAACTTAGATTATACTAAAATCATTTACTTTTAATTTTTTTGAATTTAACATTTCAAATTTGATTTCTTTTAGTCTAGCTTCGCGGACAGCAATTTTAGTGACTGCTCGCCAAGCATCTTTAGCTCGGTATCTAAATCCTTCAACTTCTTCTAATTTAAAATTAAAATCTTGAAATATGTCATTTTCTTCTGAAATACCTTGTTTTATGTAATCTTCTACATCTTTTAATAAATTTTGTTCTTTAATATTTAAAAAAGATATGGCTGTGCCCTAAGTAAATAATATAAGAAATAAGTAATTTAAAATAATTATGAGTTAAAAAAAGAACTTCCTTACTTTATTTTTTCCTCTCGCTGTACGACCCACTCTGTGTATGTAGGAATAGATATCTTGTGGAAAATCAAAGTTAATAACAATTGACACAAATTGAAAATCTATTCCTCTTGCTATACTAAATTCTTTATCATGTTTACGTTTACTAAAATATAAATGAAAATAAATATTTGGTTGAATTTTGAAAAGCTGAAGATTTTTTATTTACCTTGTCTTAGTTGAAGTTATTTCATGTTCTTCATCTAAAAATTTTTCATCCGATGCTATTATTATATCATATATATTATCGTTGAACTGATTTATTGTATGACACCGACAACTAGCCGGAAGTTCAGAGTTTAATACACAGGTGTGAACACCAAATTGTTCCAAAAATAATTTTAACCTAACAAAATAATATTATTATACTACTCAAACTTCATGAAAATCAAAAAGTATACTAACTTGTAGCATTTATCTACAGAATTAACAAATACTATAGTTTTTCCTTTCACGAGTTTTAACTTAAAACAACAGTATAAAATGACTGCTTTATCTTCTTCTTCAGCATTCAATTTGTAATGAGTTAATTGTGATAATGGAGCCAAATCAGGTTCTTGCAGTTTTAATATGACGGCATTTCGTAGGAGTAATTTTTTTAATTCCAAAACATCTTCAGATAATGTTGCACTAGCCAAAACAGCTTGATATGTTTTGGGCAAAAATCTATGAAATATAAAAAATATATTCAATCATTCAACATTTAAAATAGTAATAATACATTGGACATTTTGTTTTAACTCACTTGATAACTTCTTTAATTTCCTCTTCGAAGCCAAATGAAAATACCAAATCTGCTTCATCGACAACCAGTGTTTGAAGTTTTTTAAGTGTCATGTTTTTTCCTTGTAAATGAAGCAATGCTCTAGCTGGCGTAGCCACAATAACATCAGGGGGTATTTTTAATAAAGGTTGTTGTTCTTTCATATCAATCTAAAATAAATTAACAGTTTGTTTAAATTATAGATTCTCAATGAATAAATGACTGTATGTTGGTTTTTTAAAAAATTTTTTTGTGTTATCAGCTTTTGGAAAAGTAAAAATGTTTAGAATTAATTATGAGATATCCTAAGAATTATAGGCCAATGTCTCTAATTCTGACTGCAGACAAAATGTTTCTGCTCAGAATTGTTTTTCATGTGTAATGATTTATCACTGAATTCAAATTTATGAGTTCTATTGTCCATAGTAGTCGTCAGTTATTATTTAGTATTTACTATACGGAACCTATGAGCTACATCTAGCCCACATGAATTTTTTTAATTTGATACTGTCAGAGAAGGAAGCTGTCCAACTTCTTCAAGAACAAGGTTTGTTGCCAAGTGTACGAGTTTGTCCAAACAATAATTTGGCAAAGTTATATTTTTGAGAAGAGGTGTTTTGGAAATGCAATGTCAAAAAATGTAAAAAAAAGGTAAATATACTTAACGGTAATTGGTTTGCAAAATCACTGATATCGTTTACAACTACAGTGCGATTTATATATGGCTGGTCTCAAGTAATAACAAGTATTAATTGGTGTGAAAAACAATTAAATTTAAGTAAAGATACAATTATTGACTGGAATAATTACTTACATGAAGTGTGTGCAATGGCTTTCGTAAACCACAGAAAAAATAGGTGGGTCGGGAATGATTGAAGGGATCAATGAAAGTTTATGAGGGTACTTGCCAAAGAGTGGATATTTGAAGATTTGAAAAAGAAGCATTTTCAATAAAAATGTATGACAGAAAACCCAGAACTCTGCTAACGACGATCAAGAATAATATTCAGAAATTTATTCAGATTTTTGACAAACTTATAACAACAAATTATTAAGATCATCCATCTTCAATAATTATACTATCAATATCAATCATAGTTAGACCCAAGCACGTTAGACTTTGTAGACCTAACCACGAGAGCACCCAAAAAATCAAACATATTTGGGGATCAGCAAAATGGAGAAACAAAAAACAGAAGAAAACACTACGGCATCATCTAAGTTTATAACTGACTAAATTTGTTTAGAAACAAAACCTTGCAAACAATCTACCATCTGGTAGAATTCTAATGGATATTAAAACCAACTTTCCTCGACCAACAATTTTAAAACGACTTTTATAATTATACATTTTTTTAAAATAACTTAATGTTATTAAACGTCAACAATATTAAACGAATATATATTTTTGGTAAATTTATGTTTACAAGATTACAGCTGTTACCACGACTACCACCCAAGACTACCTCTGTTATCGTGACTACCGAGCTAATTTTGTGAAACATCACAATCTAAGACTTCCAAAAATGGTACTTTCCTGTTATACAAAACAACCTTATTTTTCTTACCTTCTTTGATATTTTTTTTAATAATATGTATTGCAAGGATCGCCACATTCAAATTATATATATAAAAAAAAAAAGATTTGGAAATATAGTAATTATGTGTGAGGTATTTTACACGGTACAAGCCAAAGTGCTAAGTTTGCTGGGGCATACAGAAAACCATAAAATAATAATAATAATAAAAAAGGTAAATATAAGGTAATCTAAAAAAGCAATCTAATCTATTAATCTGAAAAAGATAAAGGTTTCCCGATATACACCTAAAAAAACCACTATTGTGGAAGAATTCTACCTGCATTATTTTTTGGCTTGGAAAATAAACTTTCATCTACTTTCTCAATTCTACAGCGTCTTTTAATTTTTCCTTAGTTCCTTGCCTCAATATTTAGAACACAAACTTCCCACAAATAGTTATTCCAATCTATTACTGAATTTTTATTTATTTTCAAATTTTGTTCGCACCATTTTATTTAAGTTAACTCTTGACTCCAAGCAAAAGTAAACTAACAAATGGAAAACGACTGACAGATGTGACGACTAGAGCAAAATGAATGGTCTACTTTTATAAAAAGGTAATATAAAGGAAATACCAATTACAAAAACTAATAATATAGGTAATGATAGATATAATATACCTAATAAATATAATCGCCGCTTATGGATATTAGTCGGCAATATTGTGATAGTAGCGATAAAGGAGGTAGTCTTGGGTGATAGTCCCGATAATAGCCAAACTCTCATATAACAGGAAAATATTTTTTGGTAGTCCTAGATGACAGGATTGTGATGTTGTCAAAAAATAAGGTAGTCTCGAATAACAGGAAAGTACCATACTTTTTAATTATTTAATAAATTGCGGTAGTCAGGATAACATGGATAATCATAATAGGTAGTCTTGGAAATATTTTGGTAGTCAAGATAACCCGGTTGTGCACATAAGGTAGTCGAGATAACACAGAAATATATTTATATAATTATTAGACCTTAAAGTTATTTGGTTATAAAAATTATTGTAATATAAATTATAAAATTATAATAAAATATTAAACTTTACTTTTTAACTGTAAAAAATACTAACTTGATCAGATATATCTACACATTTTATAACTCTTGAACATTTGATGGTTAACTGAAGTATATTCTTAAAAATCTGGTTACATAGTTCCTTACTTGGAGCTAATATTAATGCTTGTGTACAATAGCTATCATCATTTATCTAAAACATTTGTTAAGATATAAAATTGTAAATATAGGTTATGAACTTATGACAATTTACAAATAATAAAATAACTACTGACAATAAATCATTTACTTACATCTTTGAATTCTAATATTTTTTGTATTACAGGTATAACAAATGCTGCAGTTTTTCCAGATCCAGTCCTTGCCCTCACCAACATATCCTTGCCTTCCAACAGGAGCGGGATACCACGCTCTTGAACCAGTGTGGGTTCTGTCCATCCTTGGTTTGCAATCGCCTGTTGGGAAAGAAATTAAAATAAAATTATTGTTGGAGTTTTGAATAGATTTTAAACAAATTCATCGATAACAGTAAACAGAGAATATAATACACACTTTAAGTATACGATCATCTATATTCATTTCGTGAAAATTAATATGAGATTCCATAGTGAATGGAATGGAAGCAATAAACAAAACTTAACAATAAATTATAAAAACAATAATTATGCAGGCAAAAATACAATATAAGCACGTGCTAGAGGCTTCCTATACTATCAATGGCTTAGTGCAGACGTGTTGCTGCTGGGAATCGTGAACCGTGATACGCGTTATCATCTACCGATAAACACTCAATTATCGATTATTAACTGCTACCACACGGTTACCAGTGTTGGTTACTGACCAAAAGGCACAAAATGAATTGTGAATTGTGATAAACCCATAGTAGATATTATAAACCAATTAAAACCATAGAGTTCTATGTGATAAACTGATAGAATGATTGAATGATAGGTACATAAATAAACTTTATAATACCTAGTAAAATTTGTTACCAATTAATATTTATTTTATTTTATAGGTTGAGCTAGGTATTAACTTTTAGTCCATAGTGTACTTAATTTCCCATGTATACATAATTCTAATCTAAATTACCGGCTTAGATTCTTCGTTCATTTAAACAACTGAATATAACTGAAGCCACATTGGAAAATACAATGGTAAGAGGTTTTTTGATTTGTCAATGACATTTTTTCAACACTATACATTTCAGTGTGAAGATGAATGGTTGGATATTGAACGACGGTTTGAAAAAGAAGGTATTGACTATAGACGTTTGAAGACTGAGGAGAAATTGATACATGTTTGGAGATGGTTAGTTGATGCCGATATCAATTTACAGAATGCAAGGAAAATGATTGAAAAACTACGTTTAAAGCAGAATGAAGAGTTGGAGGTAAGTTCTGTTATAAGGTAAATCTTAAATTTCAAAAATAAAAACGAAATCATTTTTAGGATATGGAAAATTACATGGTTCATATACGAGTACTTGCTGATAAACGAATTGATGATATGGAAAAAACTATGTCCATTTTTGCTGAGCAAGTTGCAAGACTTGAATGCGAATTAAATGGTTTAGAATCGATAGATGGTGATAATGTCTGTGACAAGGTAAGACCTAACTCAAATACGCTTTGTCATATGAAAAATAATTTATTGTTGACTCAATAAATGTGCAACTTTATCAAGGCATATTTTAAAATGAAATGGGTTCAAAGTAAATATAATTTACCACCATTATTTGTTTGAAATATATTACTTTTAGTGCATAAAAAGTATATTCTATTTCTGTTTTGGGCTTGCATTATTTTATATTATTTTCTTATAAATTAAATTGAAAGGTATTATTTCAAATTAGAACTGTCTAAACTAAAAGATATATTTCATACTCAAAATTGATACATTTCAGATTTTCAATTGAGTGTTATATAAGTAAATCACTTTCCTACTCCTCAGCAAGTTTTTGAACATATTTTGATTGTCCTTAGAACTAAGTAGGGGATAGACAAGAACACAGGGTTAATTATTTTAAGTTATATATATATATATTGTAAATTGTTAAACTTAAGACGCATATAATTTTTAACTGAAATTATAAAAATATGATATCATAATGTTTTAGGAAAAATTAGCTTTAGTAATTAAAATGTTTGTTAACAATACTTATTTACTTTTAGGTTTCAAATTTGATTCATGGTTACACATCCCTAGTGAATGAAGTAAATATATTAAAACAATTTAAAAGTTTTGATGTAAATGGAATTCGTAAAGAATCCGATGATGTTCTAATAATTGAAATGATTAAAGTAAACAGTTCACCTTATATACCTATTACAACATAAAATTATATATGTGTTATTTACTTTTAGATTTCGGCTGAAAAAGAATCCTTAAAAAAACAAGTTAAAGAATTGGAAGATCGAATAAGTGTTTATGAAATGACTAAAGCAGAATATAATACCCAACTAATATCTACGGAGGTATTGTTTTAAAATATTAATTTAAAAATATTATAAAATTTATTATATTTCCTATTTAAGGTACAGAAGAATAAAATTTAAAATAATTTAGTTAATTTAACTATTTAGTAAATAAAAAACAAAACTTAAATTAACTGAAACAGCAAATTTTAGCAAATGAATGAACATTTAAAATTTATAGTAAAGACAATTTTGGCATTTAATAAAAATTTAAAACAGTATTATTACTAACTATTTTCATTTAATATGCACTCTTTTTAATCTTAGCTATCAGAAAGTTCAAACAAAATTGATGGGAAAGATTCTTTATTGGGTAATTGATATTTTTTTGTAGATTAATTGCCTGTGCAATCACTATCCAGTGAAGAGTTACAATTACTATTGATAGTTTTATATTTATACTGTTGTTGATTTTGAGTTTTAAATATATATTATATAATTATAATAATTTTTGTTTATGTAATACTGTAATTGCAGATTAATTATTACTAATGGAAGTTTAGAAGTTGACAAGTCCTTTTTACTGTTGAATTTTGTGTACAAAATAACCAAATTTCATTAAAAATGAAAAACAAAAATGATCAACTTCTGAACATAATTTAATTATAATTTTAATTTTTTGTGCATGCTACGTGAATAATTTCAATTATGTTATGTTTGAAATATGAGCATGAATTTCATTTTTTTGTATAACATCTAAGTAGTTGAAAATATTTTTCAACAGTTAATAAATAATTGAAAAAAAAATTGGGGGCATTTCCTTGGATTTTCATTTTGCACTGGATATTTATTTAAATCATGTAATTACATATATGAATGAATTCTCTCAAGTAGTGCATTTTATATGCCCAGTAACTATTAAACTAGCAAGAGTTCAGACTTTATACTCTAAAATACCTCAATTATATATAATATGTTTGGTTAGTATTTTAAATTATCCATGATAAATACATGGTTATTCTCAAACTCCGAGTTAAGCATGTTGAATTGAATAATGAGATGCATGACCTAAAAAAAAAAAATATTACCCCTAGTTCCTACATTATTATTACTTATGATATAATACTAAATTAATATATTTATTAAATTACATATTGTAAGGAGCATGTTATTTTTCATTTTGTTTTTTTTACTATTTAAGTTTAAAAATATTACGTACTTGTAATATTTGTCCTACTTATTTGACGTTAATGTGCTACTGATATTGACTATTTAATTTGGTTTTTGTAGATAATTAATAAAAATCTTTTATTTTAATACTTATTTTATCCATTCAATTAATTTAGATAATTCAATATCTTGGAACAGAAATATAACAAATGATGACACATCAAGTATAAGTATCCAATTATTCAGGTAACGGACCAGAAAATGTTTTTTTCTTGTTTTTAGTAAAATTTATTTATATTTAATAATTTATAATTTTATTTATTTTTAGTGATAAAACAAAATCAGCAAGCAATTTTTGTAATGATTTTTTTAATTGTGCACAAGAAAAGATTGATGATCAAAAACAAAATGTTAATGAAATAACAAGAACTTTTGGGTACATTGTTTTATTTTGAGAATACTATTAAGTTACTTTAATTAAAAACCATCAACAAATTTTGAATTAGTTTTACCAATTTTAAATTTAAACACCATACTTATATAAAATAAAAAGAGAATTTTTATATTTTTAGTAATTGGATATACCTAAACAAGTTATAAAAGTTATCTTAAGATTTATATGGTTTATATTAAAAGTATCCATACAGTAACCTATCTTAATGAAGATTATAAATGTTATTAAAATCAATTTATTAATTTTTTATGCAAATTATAGGCCAGAATCAACACCGCCAAGTTTATTATCTAGTGACTTAGCGACTCCACGACAAATTTCAACTATTATAACAGATGGGATGTTGAATAACCAATCAGATGAACTAAAAAAAATTAAAGTATTATCATAACTCAAAAGCATTAAATACTTTATAGACCTGCTTCAGCATATAAAAATTGAAAAACATTTAATAAATAAGAAATAAAATACATTTTTTCAATTATTTGGAATTGTAACAGTTCTTACTGTATTAATTATTTAAAAATCAATTTAAGGTGGAGTTAGAGGCGCACAAGACTTTGGTGTCATCCCTTGGTGAGAAATACAATGCACTAGCACTCAAACATTTACAGTACAAATCAAAAAGAAAAATGCAAATCGAAGCTTTAAAGTAAATAATAATCATTAATCAGTTCATAATTTTCTAATTCCCATATATATATTATGCATTTTTATTCTATATTTAATACTCTATTTTTTATTTGTTAGAGGTAATTTGGAAGCAGGTCAGTGTCAAATGGAATCTCTTAAGACTCAATTAAGCATACAAAAACGCAGATTAAGAACAGAAGAAGAGTTCCGAAAACAAGTTGAAACAGATTACAGATCTTTGCAAGAAGAAAAACGCAATATTGATTTTCGGTAATAATCGAATCCAATTTTATAGTATTTATAGTTTATACATTTATAATATTACCGCAGATTACATAAAACTTATAATTTGTAATATTATATTCAAAGTTATCTTTTGTAATTTTCTTAGAATTGCAATGTCAGAGAATGAGCTACGAAATATGGCAAGACACCTTAGCGTATTACATAAAAAAGTGGCTATGTTAGAGAGTGCTAACGCTGATTTATTGTCAAAACATTTACAAATTGTTTATAAAAATTCCCGTATACCAAAAAGCACTACATGTGATTGCATTTTAACTGCTATGTCTGATGACAAATAAAACTTCCTAAATATAACATTTTCTGTCTAATGTAATTCTTTAATTTTACAAATAATTTATAAGAAGTACAGAGAAAACACTTTTTGACTATTTTTAAAATAATTTGTCTTTCATTATTATATTTAATCAATTTTATTCCATTACACTCTTCAGAATAATAATCAATTGAAAATTAAATTATTTATATTTTATAAATTCTATAAATATATCATACACTTCAAATAATAATATGTTTGTTTCACTGTACTCAGAAATTAAATGCTTACATTATTTATAAATTGTGTGTTATTAATGTAATTAAGTCCTTCCATTAATTTATTGTGCCAAATAAAAGAAATATTTTCAAAAATAAAGTATTGATTTATTTTAAATGTTAAGTTTATTGTTATCTGTTGTTGCTTCGGCTACACTATAAACCCCTTTGAGAAGCTTTGCTTGACCAATTTGTGATGGTTCTTTTGGTGGAAGATATGGACCTCGATCACCTGCATACACATAACTAAACATGATCAAGTTAAGGTATTCTCTATAGTATATGCATAAATATTGTAATAATTTTCAAAGCAATCTTTTACAGTGTCTACTTCTAAATAATAAATATTATAAAAAATCTAAAGGATACGGCAGTCGAAGTACCCAATAAGTACTCTGTGTAAGTTCAATAGGTGTATCAAATCCAGTAACAAATATTGGACCACCATTTTCATCAGGTTGCACCATAGGATTCAAAGTTACATGCACAGGTGCTTTAGGAGTTACAACATGGATTCTCATAAGCTGAGCTATCAAAGGAGCTGAGCTGAAAAATAAATAACATTTCAATTTTCAAATCAAATATTTAATAATTAAAAGTTAGAATTAATTAATTACCTGCAAGGGCATGGAAAGTATAATGGCATATCTGAGTTAGATACTTTATTTCCATTTTCTTTCACGATACCATTACCTGCAGTAGTTAATATCTTGTCAGGTGCTGAACACATAAACCGATGACCTCTTGGGCATTCATATTCAACTCCAATGAAAATTTTGACAGAAAATTCTACAGCAACAATTTTATCCTTTAATTTTTTGAATTGTAATATTAGGATGATTAAATACAATTGATTTATATTACCTCGAGAACCTTTAGTTTTTCGTCCACGTTGAATTGGAGATGAATTAATTTTATTTTTATCAGAATTCCAGTATCTATCTCTAGGATGATGCTCTAAGCGAACAGTAACATCCCAAGGTAGAAGATAAGCTGTAGAATTTAAAAATCCAGGGTGTTGTGCTTCCTGAAGTCCTATATTATGTGAATACAAACAAGACGAGCCTAGACATACTAAAGACCAAGATGGGAACTGAGGCAACAAACTATTTGGTGACTCGGTATGCAACATGCCTGGTAAATATTCTGTGGTGCTTGGTTGTCGAACTAATGATTTATCTGAAAAATTAATCCATCATAAATATCAATAGTCAATATATATTAACAATTTGTCAAATATTACCTTTTGTGTCACCATCTGTATCAGTTACTCTAATAACAATCTGATTTCCTGAGATGACGTCTTCATTTTTTTGAATATTCGTTTCAACCGAAGTAAGACCTTGTCTATCAGGAACTTCTCTGTTTCGAGATGCTTCGGCCAAAATTTCATTTATTGGATCTACAGAATGACAACTGGCAAAAACTCCTAAGCATAAAATGGGAAAATGATTGAAAATAATGTAACAAAATAAATGTATAAATAATTTTGATTTACCTCCTAAACTTAATACTTGTGTATGGCCCATCTGAGTTTGTGTGTGTAACAAACCGGCACTGTTTTTTCTACCAGCAATTACAGGAGGCTTTGCAAACAATTGTGCAGCTCTAAATAAACATTATTATCAATATAGGTTTTATATAAGTGTTACCAAAAATCTCACCTATAATCTTGTGTACTAGGTTGAAACACTGGGAAATTAATTCTATCTAAACAACCACAGACACAATCATTGGCCATAATTTGATAAAAATCGTAGTTAGCTGTTCTGATTGTAAATGGATCTTCACGAGTACCTTGCTTATGACCACAGTTACATGCTGACAAGTACATGACACTACTTGAATGCTCCATAATGAGTAGTTCGTCCCTATTAATATGGCTGTAAAGTCAATGAAAATATACTTTCAACCAATAAACAACCAAAATTAAATCCCATAGACTTATTTTTTACATAAATATATGAACATTAAGCAATTATAAATTTATAAGCAATGAAAATTATAATTTAAAAATTCCTAATTTTTTTTCATGTTTTATTTTTGACAAATATAATAGCATTTAAATAGTCTTTACATTAATACTTTAAAATAATAAATGTTGTTAACCATAAAGTATACAAAAATAAACTAGCTACCATGAATAAAATGAATTTAATAAACATTACCAATCACAATTTATTAAGTAATGAAAATATGTTACTCCACACCATGCAAATAATGTGCATCTTAGCAACACCACTTCTAAACTATCATGAATATAATGAATATAATAAACATTACTAATTACAAGTAACAAGTAATAAAAAAGTATTACTCCACACCATGCAAATAATGTACATCTTAGCAACTTTGCTACTAATTAGAAAATGTTAATCGTTTTTAATATAAAGCAAAATAAATTAAATAATGTTCTAAAAAATTGATTTTATTTCATATAAAATATTTTTGAATAGCTGAAATTTTTTGTTTATTGTGAAAAAGATTTTAAGCATTCTTATTAAACAATAAACAATACAGTAACATAAAAATATAATAATAAAGTGGTATAATAGAGTGTTTTGGAAATTGTATACACTCAAAATATAAACTAGTCTTAATAGCCATAAACATTATATCTTTACAAATAATTTGTAGTTAGTGGACAACATTGGACTAGCATCAGTATATTAAAATGTAATATATATTATTATAATTTCTCACAAATAAAATTGTATAGGGTGATCCCTAAAAAATAAAAAAATAAACCTTATAATAAATATAATATTATTAGGCAATGTTTACAATACCAAGTATTTCTTAAATTAAAAATTTTGTGGTCCATAATAAAGTTAAAATAGAACTTTTTTATTGGTTTTTTAAAGTTTGTATTATATGTATTTGGAAGGGCTTAAACCCTTATTCATGAGGCTAACATACTATCATACAATAACAGTTTTAGAAGAGTTAATGATTATTATAATGAATATTTAATAAAATAATATACCATAGAACTAAAAATTAAATTTATTTTAGCATACGAATTTTGTGTGAGAAATAGATAAACCCATAGGAGGTAAAATAAATAGAAACTGAAAATAATTGGAGATTATTTATTCATTATTATCAGCTTGGATAAAATATACATTTTTAAAAGCTCTGTTTTAGGCAAAAATATAAATTGCATATTATTTTATTTATAATGTATTAATAAATTTGAGAGGTGAATGATGTTTAAGGTATAAAAATATTAGTAGGTAAAGTGAGAAAATATTTGAATGTCAAAATATTGAATTTTATAACTTTAAAAATAGTGCACTAAATATGTTTAAATATATTCTAAATATTTCTCATGCAAGTATAAGTATCAAGTGACAGTTAATTATATTATAGCAAGCATTGTTAACCATCCTGGTTTAAATAATAAAAACTACTTGTCATCTTGTTCTGGTTCCTTGATAGGTCCATCAACAGTACCCCCTTTATGTAAAGGCTGTGTACAAGGATTTCCAGTTAAAGAAAGAGTTTCACACATTTGACGACCCGATTGCCATAATTTATCACAGTCTTGAACTAAAATTTGAATATAATCATCAAGTAAAGGCCCACGAGCATGTTGAGCAAACACTGAAAGTGCTTGAGCTACCTATAAAATATAGAAAATAATATACATTTGATTTAAATTACTTTATTTTATCTTATCACAGCATACTTTAGTGTCATGATAGTTTCTGTTATAATGTGATGGTAAATTTTCTTGATAGGCAGCCATGGCTATAGGCTGAACTTTACGGCAGCGTCTCTCGCTAAAATTGGTATCAATATCTAAAACTGATCTTAATGTTTCCAAAGCAATTTTAGACTCTTCATCAAGATTGTTAGCCAAGACAAATAAATTGTACATCTCATTTGCTACTAGACACCATGTACCAAAAGCTGGAGCCTAATTAAAAACATTTTAGGAAGAATAATTTAAAATTCAAATATAAAATAAAACCCAACCACTAACAATAAGATAAACTAAAATAATATCAATAATAATGGAAAAAACATTAAAATAATTACTGAGACAATAAATACAATAAATAAAACGTAATATACAGTAACAACATACCTACATTATTTAATTTAAACCTAGAATAATCATTGAAGATTGTGATATATGAAAACATAGGAAAGATTGAGATGAATGGATTGTTAGTACATATGTTGCATTTTGCGGACGACATTAAAATGATAGCAGATAGTGAAAAAAAAAATAGAGAGAATTCCACAAAACATAAATAACACTAAAACAGGACTATAATATGAAAATTAATAAGACAAAGATAAAATTACTGGTGTGTATCAGATAACGAGTAAACAATAACAAACAATTTTACATACCTTAGAAGCAAAATTGCAAGCAACAGAAAAGTACAATGGATATTAATTGCAGAATAGCAAATGCTAAGAACATATTTTTCAAAAACAGAAAACTATTCACCACAAATGAAACAAACATGAACATAAGAAAATCACAAGTATGGAGTGTAGAATTGTATGGAATAGAATAATGGATAATATTGAATGCTGATAGAAGAAAAATGAAAACTTTCAAAACTCGGTATTAGCTAAGTGTTTAAATATCCTGGACAGGTAGAGTCAAATGAAGAAGTATATTACAGGATAAAAGAAAATAAGTCATTAAGCGGTACTTTTCTGTTATCCCTACTACCTCGAGTCTCCATTCTGATATCTCGACTACCACGCCGATGCTGTGACCACAACTCCCTCGATTACTTATTGCTGACAGTTGTTATATTTCCATCATTGTATTTATTCATTTTAAAATAATTATGAATCTGTGGAATTTACCAAACAGTGAAAAAGATGTGATTGAATTTTTTCAAGAGAAGGGTTTACTTCCGGGGCACCGTGAATGCAAAAATAGAATTTTGGACTTCTGTAAC